GATCCAGCCTGGCCGCAGCGGGCGGGGCTGGCGGCAGCGCTCCGATCCTCCTCTCGCTCCTCTCGGTCAACAGCGGCGCCCGCAGCCTCCTCCCGGCACTGCAGCCACCGAGCGCTGCCCGCCCTGCCTGCCTACAAACAGGGACCACTCGCCACCCACACGCCGCTTTCCATCTCCTGCCTCCGCTTTTCTGCAGCCCATCTCGCCTTTGATCCTCCAGGGCATTACGATCTGGAGGAAGGCAGAGATATTCCGTGAGCGCTGTTCTATAAACGCACGGGACACTAATGACTTACTAATGTTATTTTATGTAAATTCAAACACATTTTCCGTATTTTATCCTGTAGCTTATGGTTAGCGTTATGCTTCTTGTACAAAAGCATCTTCAGCAACAGGCTCTCAGAGAAGAAACGGGAGGATTCCATATCCCGAATAAACACAGCTATCAGGTTCATTAACACAAGCGGGACAAGAGCAATTGCATGCTTCTTCAAGTCAGGGAGATAATTATTACAGCACTGAATAACCGGGACAAATAAAGATGCAGCTAAAACACTTAAAAGGAAACTCTCAGGACTTCAAATTTTTCACATCCCTTCCTAAAATCAACATAGTGTTTCATTAGATAACACAGATTTACGTTTCATCAATTCATTCTAGGTTTCTTTTATTATGGAATCAACGTGTAAAGAATTCAAGCTCCTTCGTAAACTATTTATCGCCGTATTTCTTAACGACGTTGATACGATGGGTTTCCAAGAAATAAATTATAGAACCATAGGAAAAAAGAACAATTGTGATCTTGAAACATTTCTGACCAGTAATCAATATGCAAATTTGATTGATTCAAGTGCCTAAACCGTCGTCTTTACAATCTCCCTCATATATGATCCCTCTGCATCTCAGATGTCCATCCTAGCCAACAGAATTTCAGATATTTGCTGTTCCCGATACACCGAGTTCAGCTGATACCCCCAATATCTTTGTGGGAAAAGGATAGAAAAATCAAAATCTCTGACACAAAAATCATTCAACCCTATCACAAGCATATGAAATAAAGATCATGAAGGGCAAAACAGAGCGAACTGCTAGCCAGGACGTATAAAAAGAACCCATCCAGTCCCACTACTGCAATCCCCCCAGAAAAGGGCAACAATCGCTTTTTTTCACTCACCGTGGAGAACTGAACTTTCCACTTTCGGTTCCTTTCTAAATCTACCAGGGATAAAACAGAGTTTAACGAACGGGTTTGTGTAAAGCTCTACACGAGTTCCAAGCACAGCTTTCCACAAAAAATTAGTCAGGAATGATGAAAGCTCCAACACCCGCTGTCAGTGCTTTTCTCCTTTTTCCTCGACCCCCTCATGGACAAGCAGCCATTCTCCTTCCACAGAATACCAATACCAATGTGCATGCGGTACTACGAACACATTGCAACTGATAGAGCTCAAAAGTTAAAGACAAAACCTCGCACCTGAAGCTGAACCTGTGACCAAGGAAGAACCAAGTGCTCTCCATGAACGGGGCATTGCCCGTTCCTTAATTCACTCCATCACGGAGACAGACTGTGCAACTCACAAAAACAAAAACTTCAGTTTCAGGAAAAAACAGACAAACACTGAGAAACGCTGCTACGAGCCGAAAGGAGAGCCATAAACAGAGCCTGTCAGCTGAATCTGTTACCAAGAAAAAATGAGAAACTTCCGCGGCCACTACATAGAGACCCAGACGACGAGTCCCCTCAGACACCAAGCAGAGAATACCCGGAACAAGGAGGACGATTCCGAAAGTTTTAAAAGCAGAAGAAGGTCAAGCTTTACACACCTGCAGTGCACCAGCATGGACGGGCGGCTCTCCCACGACGACGTTACTGCTCGGGCTCGGCTTCTCGCAGGAATCGCCGCCCAGAAGCTCCTCCGCCGACAGGACGGGCACCGACGGCACCGGCAACGGCGGTGGCCAAACGGCCTCGGGCACGTCGCGCGCCGGCGGTGGCACGCACAGGTTGTAGGAGTAGGGCAAGGTGCCCTCGCAGAAGTCGGCCGGGAAGGCGGCGCCGGCCAGCGAGAAGCGCTGCGCGCCCAGGCAGCGCAGCACGGCGGGCGGCCCGGCCCGGCGCAGCCGCGCCACCACGGCCAGCGCCACGCTCACCACCAAGAGCGCCGACAGCAGCGCCAGCGCCAGCACCAGGTAGAACTGCAGCTCGGCCGCCGCCGCCGCCGCCTCCGCCTCGGCGCCCGCCGGCCGCTCGCTCAGCTCCGGCAGCGCCTCCTGCAAGCTCTCGGCCAGCACCACGTGCAGCGTGGCCGTGGCCGACAGCGCCGGCTGCCCGTGGTCCTTCACCACGGCCACCACACGCTGCTTGGCCGCGTCCCGCTCGGACACGGCGCGCGCCGTGCGCACCTCGCCGCTGTGCAGCCCCACGCGGAACAGCGCCGGCTCCGACGCCTGCACCAGCTCGTACGACAGCCACGCGTTGCGCCCCGCGTCCGCGTCCACCGCCACCACCTTGGCCACCAGGTAGCCGGCCTCGGCCGAGCGCGGCACCACCTCGAACGGAGACGCCGCCCCTCCCGCCGACGCCTCTCCCGCTGCCGCCGCCGCCGCCGGCCAGAGCACCCGCGGCGCGTTGTCGTTGCGGTCCAGCACGAAGACGCGCACCGTGGCCGTGGAGCTGCGCGCCGGCGCGCCGCCGTCCTGCGCCCGCACGGCCACCGCGAACTCGCGGCACTGCTCGTAGTCGAAGGAGCGCTGCGCGTACAGCGCGCCGCTCCGCGCCTCCACCGACACCAGCGGCGCCGCGCCCGCCGCGCCCGCGCTGCCGCCCGCCAGCCAGTAGCTCACGCGCCCGTTGGCGCCCGCGTCCGCGTCCCGCGCCTGCACGCGCAGCACCAGCGCGCCCGCCGCGTTGTTCTCCGCCACGTACGCGCTGTACGCCGCCTCCTCGAACACCGGCGCGTTGTCGTTCACGTCCGACACCTCCAGCACCAGCTCCCTGCTGCTCCACAGCGACGGCCTGCCCCGGTCCCGGGCCACCACCGTCACGCGCTGCTCCGACGCCTGCTCGCGGTCCAGCGCGCTCGCCGTCACCACCTTGTACGAGCCGCCCGACGACGCCACCAGCGACAGCGCCGCCTCCCCCGACAGCTCGCACGACACCTGGCCGTTCTCGCCGGAGTCTCTGTCCACTACTTTTAGCAAAGCCACCACGGTGCCCACTGGGGCATCTTCGGGCACGGGACTGGACAGGGATAGAATGGTGATCTCGGGCGCGTTGTCATTCTCATCTGTGATGTCGATCTGCACTTCGCAGTGAGAGCTGAGCCCCCCACCGTCTTTTGCCACCAGACTGAAGGCATATTTATTTTCTCCCTCAAAATCGAGGAGACCCGCTGTCCTGATTTCCCCGTTGTTGCCGTCGACAGTGAACAACAAAGGGACTTCGTCCAGAACGTTGCCAAAGGAGTAGGAGACCTGCGCGTTCGAGCCTGCATCTGCATCCGTGGCCCGTACCCTCAGTACCAGAGATCCCACCGGAAGACTCTCTGCCACTCTCGTCTCGTAGACGCTTTTGCTGAAAACGGGTGGGTTGTCATTAGCATCTGTCACATTTATGCGAACCTGGACTGTCCCGGACCTCGTGGGGTCCCCGCCATCCACTGCCATCAGCACCAGTTCAAAGGAACTCAGCTTCTCCCGGTCCAATACTTGGTCTAGCACCAATTCTGGCTGTTTATTTCCGCCGGAGTTCTCCTTCAAGGCCAAACTGAAGTACGGGTTGCTGGCGAGTTGGTAAGTCAGCAGCGAATTGCTTCCTACATCTGCATCTCGTGCCGTATCCAACGGAAAACGAGCACCGGGAAACGTCCATTCACTGATCTCGAAGTCCAGAGTATCTCTCCGGAAGGTCGGGGAGTTGTCATTCACATCCTCGATGGACACCTCGATGTGGAAAATATTCAGCGGGTTGTGAACCAGCGCCTCGAAGCTGACAGAACAGGTCACAGATGCGCCGCACATCTCCTCCCGGTCCAGTCTCTCGTTCACGTACAGGTTGCCGTTCTCCTCATTCACCGTGAAGTATTGCTTCTCCTCGCTCAGGCGCAGCTTGCGCGCCGGCAGCTCGTCCGCGCTGAGCCCCAGGTCCCGCGCCAGCGGCCCCACGAGCGAGCCTCTGCCCAGCTCCTCGGGGATGGCGTAGCGGAGCCGCTCGGCCGCCGCCCGCCACCACACGCACAGCAGCACCGCGGCCAGCAGCGCTCGCCCGCCGCCCGGCCCGCGCCTCTGCCGCCGCCTCACCGCCATTCTCGCCCGCCGCCGCCGCTCGCCAAGCTCCTGCCTCCTGCCGCTGCCCTGCCTCCCTTCCAGCCGCTCTCGCCACACAGCGCACGGGCCGCCGCACCAAAGCCTGTCCCGCTCGGCCCCACAACCACGCCGCTGCTCCCCGACAAGCGACTCCTCAACGCCGCACCAAAGCCGCACCAAAGCCGCACCAAAGCCGCCTCTCGCCGCTGCCGCTGCCGCTCTGGCCGGCGCCGGCCGAGCGAGCAGCCTGCGGGGGCAGGACGCTGCGGCGGCGGCGGCGGCGGCGGCTCCAGCGCCGGCAGGCGGCGGCCAACAGCGGCACCCGGAGGCGCCGCCACGCCACTGCAGCCGCCCGATGGCCGCGCTCAACGGGGCCCGCCTTGGGCCGGGCCTCAGCGGCTGCACCGCCTCCGGCCTCGCTCCTCCGCTGCAAACACCGAGCACACAAGCTCCTGCTCCATTCCACTACAACCCCATTCTATCCACGATGTGCTGCCGGATGCTTTTTTGGGCATTCTTTTGAGTCACAACATAATCGTTTTTATTGAACACTCAGAATGAAATATTCATGGCACGGCAGTAAATAACGGAATTCAGCAGCCCTTAATAAAATCATCGTGCTTCTACAGTGTCTATAAACGATAATACAGGGAAGATTTCATGAGCTCTTCTGTACTACTGTCCTATATCTTGGTTTGTCCTTCATTACCCGGGATGAATTAACATGCGATATAGATCAGCCTAAAGCACTGTAAGCAATCCCTATACAGTTATAGCAGAATAAAATTTACTCTTTTGTTTCTGACTCATGAAAGTTTTATAATCTCCATCTTCATATCTGAGTGCCTGACCGTGCAAAGTGCAATGCAAGACTGAAAAGTGCAAAGCAATACTGAATCCTTCATAGAGGTAAACAATGTGTTCAGCTTCCAACTTAAACTTTTCTTTCAAGGTCATGCAATCCACACCTCTGCCATGAGCAGGAACACTTTCTCCATGTCTTGAAAGTTGAAGACTTCTCTGGTCTGTATGTTCCAGTTTCTCACAATCCAAAAAGGAAAGATTTCCCCTAATCAAAACCTCCCTTCTCTTACTAAAAAACACTTCCCTGCTGTCCTATGAGCACTGGCCCTGGTAAAAAGAACTCTGACAATATTTCGTATAAGATCATCTGTAAATTGGAACAGCAAAAACCCCAAAAGAGCACTGCCAAAAGTCTACACACAGGGATCTTTTCCCCATGATACAACACCTAAACTCCTTCAGTCCTTCTGCACAGCTCGCATGTTCCAACCCTCAGACCACTTCCATCATTCTTCTGGACACTCCACCATGGCCACTTGGGATATTGGCCAAACATCTCCATGCACTCTACAGTCTCACAAAAAGATTTGGGAGTGGGGGAAGCACCTGCTCCGACCTGCTGCTGGGCAGAGTACTTCTCATGCAGTGCAGGACACCATTGCAGCAGCAGGTGCCCGCTGGCACCTCATGTCCCATCTTATCACCCACCAAGAACCCAAAGGACTTCTCTGCACACCTCTTCCCTCTCACCTACTCTCTGTGTAAACTGGGGATTGCCCTAACCCCACGTGCAGGACCCGCCACTTGGCCTTCTTCAACTTCAGGATGTTTGCACGGGGCCACTTCTCCAGCCTGTCCCTTGCTGGCATCTCTGCCCTCTCGTCAATCAACTCCAGTTGCTGTCAGCTGAAAATTTTCTGAAGGTTCACTCAATCCCATTGTCCATGAAGCCACTCAGCAGGACTGGTCCCACTAAGGAAACTTGAGGGACAGCACCACTTACTGCTTTCCACCTGCACATTGAGCCACTGTCTATAACTCTTCAGCCATGACTCTCCAGCCTGTTCCTCAGCCATTTAACAGCCTCCAGACCATTGCCCAGCAAGTTCCTCTGCGTGATGATGTGGGGGACACTGCACACGTTCTCCCACTGGCCCCTGCTCTGTCCCAGAAAATCTTGGCTGGCCTGGGTGGCCGCTCTGCACTTGGATGACTGCAGCAGAGAGGATTCTGCATCATTACACTACAGACAAAGTGTTCCTGGCTGAGCACACATGTGCTTAGGAAACCCTTCCTCTTTACACCTCTAAACATGTCACGTATGTGAGGGAACTGCACCTGCACTCGGACAATTGGGACACAGGAGACCTTCCACAGAAGATCAGACACGCTGAGCTTCAGCTCATGACAACAAGGAATGCAAGAGTTACAAACACATAGAAATTAACAGAGGCAAGAACATTGTGTAGGTCTCCCTTGCCCTACACAAGCAACTCAAAGCACACCCTACTCCATCAGGCACAGCCTTGGGGGATCCATGACATGGGACAAGCAAGGCAATGACCCACTTCTTCTCTGGCCTCACACTCACAGCTCCCCTCTCTTCTTTTGCTTCTCCACCATGCAACTGGAAGCTTTTGCTTGTGGCCATCTCCTCCCTGGGCACATTTATCAGGAGATGATAATGCACTACAGCCACAGCCAGAAGGGAGGGACATTTCTCTGCTCACCACCGGTATGAGAAGGAACTGAAGGATTCCAAAGCACACAAATGATAAACAACCACACTAAAAGATTAGCGGTCATCCAATGGAGAATGGCTCATCAAACCATTGGCTTCCAGGGAATCTCCACCCTGTCCTTTTTACATGTTCTGTTCTACACAGATGCAACACCCCCTGAGGTCATATTTATTACTTTTATTTCTCCCAAAGGTACCAGAACACAAAGTCACTCTCATATCTCCTGCCTTCCACTCCCAATGAACAAGGGAAAGAGATACTTACACACCATCGATGGCTGAAAAGATATGGGTTGTTGATAATTTTAAGTAGGTCTACATAGAGAGTAAATTTAGGTTAAGAAAAACAAAACAGAACAAAACAAAACATACAGAAAAACCCAAAGCTTTAATCATCAAAGGCTAGGAAGTATTAGAAGACAACAAGTTGTCAGAGTTGACCACACTGAAGTGTTTTATGCCTTTATTTCAGGCCCTTAAATTCATCCCTGAGAGCACCTGGAATTCCCCAAGGTCTCAAGCTGCAAGTGTGGCCCTAAAGAATTTCACTGCACAGAGGATAGGGGGCTTCAGTTGAAGAATTAATCCTCACCTCAATGACCTTCTTCTAATGCATGGCCTGCCCCCCTTGCACAGATATGATACCAGCATTTTAAACAGCTTCTCTTCAGCATCTCTCTCAAGTTAAATCTTTTGACAAATTACAAGAGATTCGCTAATTGCTTCTGCTTCCTATTCTTCCTATTCCCCACTCACAGTTCTTTCCTGCGTCGCTCAAGTAAGGATATGAGGATAAATTACTGTTTTAATTTACAAAGTACTGAACAGAATTGTGAAAGTGAGCTGCAGCCTTTCTGCAAAGGAGGGCCTGAATGACAGTGCAATTACAACTCTGAAGAAAGTCTAGATCACAATGTTGCAAAGAGAAACAGATGGATAATGAACGTCTCACACACAATTAATTATTGTTCCAGACAGGAATTATGGCTATATATGTACAGTTCCATAAAGAGAAAACACCACCTTGGCAAAATGAATATTTATGAAGTTGTATTTCTTCAATGAAATGTGCAAAGTCAGGCTGGCTGGGGCTCTGAAGAAGCTGCTCTGCTGGAAGATGTCCCTGCCCATGGCAGAGGAGTTGGAAGGAGATGATCTTGATGCTCCTTTTCAACACAAACCATTCTCTGACTATGTATTTCTGTGAATCTATGATTACATTCACAGCTTCAAGGTATGGATGACAGACACTCTCCCTACAGGATAATTTTATGGTCTGGAGTTTGAAGGATTTCCAGGCACAATGGGAATCAAGTTTACTCCTTGACAAAAAAGAAAGCGCAATAACAAGCAGCCAACCAACCCAACCAAACCCAACCCAACGCAAACTAAACCAATCACAATAAAAAAATGCTAATCAAGCCAGCCAAGAATGGAAAAACACCAGCAGAGTATCCATCATAGCCTCACATTTCAGATTGTCTCAACTATACCACATACACAACACAGGAGACTCGATTGTAACTAATGCACAGGAGGCCTCACACAGGAGATCACTACACAGACCCCAGATGTTGGGGTCAGAGATGCAAGACATATACCTTTATCGGTAATGCCTAACTCTGACACCCAAGAAAGCACCAAGTTTCACATAGCACCATGGAGACAACTGTTAGAGTTAAGTAGAAAAGACTGAAAATATCAGAGTGTGAATTACAAGGTTTCTTGAGTCACTGGGTGAATAGGTTGAAGTTTAGAGTTTAAGGTAGTTTGGAGAGCAGAGGACAAGATGGAGGATTTAGGGTGTTGTCTCTTGTCTTTATTCTTTCTTCTTCATGTTCTTCTCCTAGCGGTTTTGGGTGGTAGTAAGTGATTACATAAAGAATGCCACAGTGCAACACACTGGTGTCGCCTCATAGGGTCATTAAAGAAAATAATTTAGTTGGCATTTGTTAATTAAGTAAATAGACATATAAAAGACCTTAAAAAAAAAACTTAGTTAGCCATTTTACCTCTTTCTATCATAGTGCACATAGATCCTTGTATCTTATAATGCTGATAAGAAAAGAATAAAAACTGAAATCGAACAAGAGAAAATTGCCTCCCTCTCGTCAATCTTCACTTCAAAGTCAAAAAGAACCTAACCCAAAAGTCCTTAACGAGCCCCCCAGACACTCATTTCCTTGCACAGGAAGAGAAAGAAAAAGCTTGGAATCACAGCTGTGAGCCTCATCTAACTACTAGGACAAACAGACCTTGACACCATTCATTCATTCATTTGGAACTATATCACAGTGAACTCCAGCACCGGCCCTGTCTCTGCATAGACAGACTTCTTCTCTCTGCCCAAACAAAACATGAAAGCAAAGATAGAACACAGACATCATTCAAAGAAAATTGCGTGCACAGTTTCTCAAATCCCAAGCATCAAAACTAAGGTTATGCTGATCCTTCC